CTCTTCTCCAAGCTAAAGAGACCCAGCTCCCTCAGCCTTTCATCATAAGGGAGATGTTCCACCCCCTTCATCATCTTTGTGGCTCTGTGCTGGACTCTTTCAAGCAGTTCCCTGTCCTTCTTGAACTGAGGGGCCCAGAACTGGACACACTATTCCGGATGCGGTCTCACCAGGGCAGAGTAGAGGGGGAGGAGAACCTCTCAACAGGTCCAATGCTTCAATGACTGTACAATTCTGTTTCAGCAGTTGTCACATTTCTAAAATAAATAGAAAATTTAGCAAATATATGTTACATCTCAAGACTGGACTATTCATTCTCAGATCACGCTTTGATTTGTTTGCTATTCAGACTGAGGTTTAACACTGTTGGCTTATTGTATAAATCCTTGTCCTGGTTTGGCTGGGACAGAATCCCAGTCCAGCCATGCCCGGCAGGCCATTAGCAGTTTGGAGTCAGCCAGGGCAGCTGACCTGAGTGAGCTACAGGGGTAGCCCATCCCATCATGTCATGGTCATTATAAAGGGGGAAGGTTTGCTGAGGAGGGGGAGTTCTGGCTGTGGTTCTTTCCGTTATTCTTGTGAGGACTGTTCTTTGTTTGGCTGAGTATAACTCTGTGTATCTCTGTCGATATTTGTGTTATCTCACTAAAATCTGTTTCACTTCTACCCATGGGTCTGGTCTCCTTTTCCCACTTCCCCTCTCTGGCTGTGGGGGTTTGTCAGATGATAGAGCAACTGTTATAGCTTAGCCCTGGGTGGAGGCTAAACATAGACAGTCCTGAATTGTATTTCTTTTCCTTAGCCCTTTAATACATTTTGCCTCTTAGATATTTGAAACTATGTATTTGCTCTATTTTTTTTTCCTGCATGATGTTTAAAGAATATGCCATATTAATAAGGATTTGGAGAAGACAAAGTAATAATTATTTAAGAATACCAGGCATTTCTGGGCAGTCTTATATAAATAGCACATTAAGTTGAAATGGTCAAAGAAATATCTGAGGAAAAATATAAAATATAGGATGGATGAACTAAAGGAAAAATGAAAGTATAAGAAGCTAGGCATAGAAATGAATCCTAGTAACAGTTTTCCTTTTGCCTGTGCAAACATGAGTATTCTAGTGTCACAGCCTTGTTAAGGGAAGTTTAGGGTTGTTTAGTAACCACTTGTTTGAATAGGTAACTGATATCCAAGACACCAGGGAAAATGAAGTACTGAGTTGTGATATGTCAATTTAGATGTTACTGTGAAAAGCATGAAGAGACTTGTGGGGTTTTTGTCTTTATTTAAGTGCAAGGGTTGAGGAATTTATATAGCTGTTGAAAAGAAATATGTGACCTTAGGTGACCAGGTAGCCATTATTGAAGACAAGATACTGGGCTGTTCTCTTTGACTTTCCTCCAGCTGATCCTTTTGACAGCGAGTGGAAGCACAGACAAGGGATCTTTTGGTAAGAGCCCTGATGAAGCAAGAAGCCGAGTTGGAGGGGCTAAAATAGTGGAATACACGGCTTTTAGTGAGAGAGGGTTGTTGGAGGGAATTTTAGGTGTCCACTGTGATTGGCTAGCCTTCACTGGGATTCAGAAAACTCTGCAGCAAAGAAGTCCCTAAAATCTCCTCTAGTGGGGACACTCTCTGATTTTAAACCCAGGAACACATCCTGAAATCCCAGCTTCATTGAGAGCATGTTTGTCTTGTGCTTTTGTCCGTGCACTGGGCTGTCGTAACACAAACTTTTTTAAATTACAATCTGGCATTTGGAAGCAAAGCATATTGATGGTGCTAATATATTCTCTCATACCTAGATGGTAATAAGTAGTTTTGATTAGTTCAAGTGTTTTCCCTGTACATATTTTTTAAAAAAGAAACTAATACCATTCTGTTTATAAATATTACTCTTAAAAAATGGGTTTCTACTCAGAATTAATATTTCTGAGTGGCACTTGGACTGTATATTGATCTCACCTTGTGGTGTTACCCATTCATTGTACATGTGTTGTAAGGTGAAGCATTGGGAAGAGTTCAGGAGGAGACTGGACAAATTCACGGAAGGAAAATCCTTTGAGAGTGCTGTGTAAGTAGACTTCTGACAGAAGAACTTCCCAAGCTGCAAATAAATGGAGGCTGGGAGAGTACCTAGGAGAGGTACCGTATGGGCTTGCCCCTTGGTGTACCCTCCATTTCCTAACTATCTGCTCTTGGCCACTGTTGGAGACAGCGTACCGACCTAGGCAGATCGTTCTAGCCCAGCGTGACCACTCTCACTTCCTTACATTAGTACAGTGACAGAATGCCTGTATTTGCAATATCAACAGCATCAATACACAGCAAATTATTTATGGGCATCTCAGATCTAAGCCTCTCAATAAAGCCAACAGCACAGAACAGAGCTAATCCGAGGGAGGTTGTGTGGCCAGGTCCATTCATGGCTTTAGGGTTATTAGTGGAGAAGGGTGACTATGCAAATGGAAGTCCCTAAAAATAACTCCAGTGTATGTTAAAGCAATTGGAATGTGCTAAAAGGACTGGAATAATCAATAGAAAAGAATAAAGCCAATGTAACTGACCGGAAACTTGTCATGAACCTAATTTCAAAAAAGAATGAAACGGAAAATAGGAAGCATCAAAGTGGTTGGTGGTTTGTAGAAAAAACATATAGGAAGAAAAATCAGAAAGACAGAGGAACCAAAATGTGAGTCTTGTAATGAAACTAAAAAACTAATATATAACTGCCTTCATGGTGGTAAAGGAACCTAGGGAGAAGTGGGACTGTAAGGTCGATTCCAGCTGAAGTACCTAACTAAATCAAACCTCATCTCTTTGGTATTTACTATTAAAACCTGAAAACCTAGATTTCCTGTCCAGTTAAATTCATCAGCAGGTAACTTACTAACTTCATCAACTGTGCTGAGGGAGCAAAATCTCAAGCAGGTGTCAAAGGGCAGTGTGCTGAGAAGCAGAAGAAATCCTTAAGGAGTGGTGCGGGAAATGGAGCCTTGCAGCTGCTGCAAGTGCTGAGTTAACTCTTGTCTTCTACAACAGCATCTGTGTACTGCAGGCACGTGCTGCTGGAGAAATAGAGGGGTACCACCATTTCGTAGCACACAGCTACACAAGGTGATGGTAAATTGTAGTCCCTGCTGGTGTGGGATGAACTTCAGCCAGAATTAGATAGAGCCAAATGCTCCATTACTCCCTGCCAAATCTGTGCACAACCTGTACTCTTTAGAGGTGTTTCCTCAGCCATAATGTCAGTAAGGTAATGAACCATCTGTCCCAGAAGGGGAAGTTTGTGCCAGTTCTCCTTGTTAGGAAGAACAGCCCCTATTCTAATACCAGACATTTGCAGGATTTCCATTTGGTTCCTCCAAAAATGATGTCTCAATCCAGTACATTTCAGTAAAAGGTGTGGGCCTATTTTTCTTAAGATGGTTTATAGATTTCCCAAGTTGGTCAGATGAAGGTGCATTCACTAGGAGTAGGGAGTAAATTAACCGCAATCTGGAAGGTCTAATGAAATGGAAAATAGTGTGTCATGCAAGGTTTAAATAGATGTCCAGAGCTCTCTTTCCATCCTACAGTCAGTGCATAGTCAGCCACCTGATCTTCAGGTCAACCATTTTCTAAGCTGTAAAGCCTGCATGAAGAGAAGGTGGAAAGTTATTTCTTCTTCCTCCTTGCATTAGTAGCTTTCTCCCCATCCTCTATGGTTTATGGCTTATTGGTCATTTGGCATATTGGAGTTAATTAGCTGGAAAGGGAAGCTTGAATCAAAGATTGACAGACAGCAGAGAGATGCAATGCATTCTTGGCAAGCAAAACAATTGAATAGAGAAAAGGAAGAGTTTTGTGGGTCACAGCCAAAGTCCAAGCTGAAAACTGCAGCATTCAATGGACTTTGCAAGAAAGTCCCTGAAGTATGCGTACATTCAACCAGCTTGCTAAGAAATGCAGGTTTAGTTGGCCCATTGTTTCAAGTTCATACCCAACTGACAGTTATAAAAACTCAGTAGACTGTTAAAACAGAACAAAAACCAAACCCAAAACAAAAGAGCAAAAAACCCCAGACAGACGTTGAAACTGACATGAAGCATGTCAGTGAACACTAGTTTAATGGACAGTACCAGGATACCCAGAGGCAGAAAGTGACCTGTTGAATAGACAGAGACATTGATAATTTATCTGTGCTCCCCTATTTGTGAACAGAGGTTTCAGAGCAAAGAGCAGAATATGAAATAACAAGATGTGCAAGGACAGATCCTTAGTTGGTGTAAAATACTGTAACTCGATTGGATTGAATGGAGCAGTGATAGTTTTCAACAAGTGAGGACACAATGCTATATTTTCATGTAAATGCTGTCCTCGATGATGGTAAAGGACAACACATGGGGATTCCTCCTCATGTCCTTCTGTTCTGGCAGAACCACAAACATTAGCTGTCCTGGCTTCACACTCATTTTCACAGTCCACTTCTGTCTCTTTCTGAGGTGATGTTAAATATTTGTTATTGCCACATCCAATTTCTTCCCAGAGTGCTTTGACCTCGTAACATTTCTGTCTGTGAAAGCTGTAGAGTTCATTCAGTCCCACAGGTCTGTGGGACACCTGTAGGTGACAAGTGCGAACTGGAGCAGAAAGGAAGGTTGGGCAGGGTGAGGAAGTGCAGGAGTTCCATGGCCTCTAGGAAGGTCTGGGGCTTAAAGGATGGGTGAATGGTGACTATAGTTACCTTCGAGCTAGAGCAGTGACAACTCTTGCTACTCTTTTCTTTTCAGTAGAGTTTTGAAATGGGAGCAACATGAATGAGTTGTCTACTAAACAAAAGGAAAACAAAAAAAAATGGTGATGGGCCTGGAGGTGCAGGTAGCTCCTAGTGTGAGGAAGGGAAAGATACCCAAAGCTCCCCTAAGCAGGGAGAGGAAAACACAGCAAGGTCTTGTGCAAGGGGAATATGTAGACTCTGGAAAAAGCAAAGGGGAGGTGGGACGTGGACTCTGTCATGGCCTCCAGCAGCAACAGCCTGGGCCTCAGAGACAAGTACCGACAAGCATCTGAGTGGGACTTTCCTTTAGAGAAGGCCACGAGGTTCTTCTGTGAAAGGTAGAGGAAGATATGATCAAGATTCAAATTTTGCCTCTCAGAACACATCAATTTGCATTTTTTAATTACTTTTGAACCTCCTTTGAATGCTCGCTTAGTCTTTCGCATTGTCTATGGCTGGCCCTAAGTTTGGGAGCCCTGATGTGTGCAATGAACGCAGCCTACACATGCCAAACAAAATGCAGTCCCCTTGGTGTGCGATTGTCTCCCCAGCATCTGGGGACTGAGTCATCCTTGAGTCAGAGCAACCATATTTGGTTAAAGATTTTGCTGTTGTAACCCATGGGATGCTGTTTGGTATTGCTAACTTGTTTGTGTCATCTGCCCAATAAATCACTGGCTGGAAGCTTCTCTTTCAATATAAATATTCCTTGCCAGCCACTGTAGGTTTTATATGTGGGGTTTGGGGTTTTTTTGGTGATGTCCTTTAGTGCTGCCAAATAATCTTTCCTTCTCCTGTGTGGCGCAGCATGTAGGGAGAGCAAGCTGTTCCCGCAGTAGCCAGCTGCAGATTACAAGGTGCTCTAGGACAGAGTTGCTCAGCTGTATGAAGGTTGAAGACATAATAATAAAATACAAGCAGATTCCAATTAATGATCTTTCAGAGCTCCTGAAACCAAAAGACAAAAAGAGAAAAATGCATTTAATGTCTAGAGGATTTGCATACTGTCAGTCTTTAAGATGTGCGAGATGCTCAGGGGGCTGGAGCACCTCTTCTGTGAGAACAGGCTGGGAAAGTTGGGGCTGGTCAGCCTGGAGAAGAGAAGGCTCCAGG